TTTTGTTGTAGTAAATGATGAGATTTGGTTGCAAATTTTTTTTTTATATTATAGCAAAATTGAAACTTTAATTCAAATTTGGAGTTATTGGATTTGGAATTTTGTTTCGGCATTGGATTTGACAAGGTTAGGCCTAGTATATACATTTTCTCTCTTTTGGATTTTATATTCTGAGTAACCTATATTGTCGTGGGAATGCTTTTGGTTTATTTTATAAAGTGTTGGAAGCTATTAGTATAATAAGCTTGACATTCTAATTCTCTATTTTGCATTGAATTTGTCCAATGAGTTTTCATTGAATAATTGCACCAAGCCGAGGAAATTGACAAAAATATTTGCACCGATTGTAGGGGCATGAGTTGGTAGAGGCTGGCTATAAGGGGCTTATTGGGGTTATGTTGTTTAATCACGTATGATGATTTTCTTCATTAGACATATACTAGCACTATCGAGGGATTCACAAAGATAATAATTTTTAATTCTTTTAATTGTTAACTAAATTTGTTTTGACAGTTGAGTAAGTTTTCATATTTTTGGGGGTTTTGAATGGAAGGTTTATAGATTACATCAAAACTAAAGTATTAGTAATTGAAAATAATAATTATGTTTCATTTTTTCCTATATGAATGCTAAACTGATAGTAGTTTTTCAGTAAGCTCAGAACTACATATTGAAAATCACCGATTGTTGCCGAAGGACTCATTACCAGCAAAGATGCCGCTAACAATTTCACATGACACCACTATACAAGTAAGACAATTTTTTCTCTCACTTCATTTTTTTTCCCGTAAACCCAAGTTTGTTGGTGATTCACTAAAAAATAGTTAGTTTTTGTTTGATAATTGGGAAAGAGATTATGGGTTTATTGGGTCATATTTGGTTCCAAAGTCTTGCTGAGTGAGATGATTTTTCACTAACCAAAATCACTCGCATTTTTTATCTCATATTCTAGGAAACATACTTGTTTATTTCTCTACAATGTGATTGTGGCACTTGCGACAAAATTTGGGATAGTGCTATAATTTTTAATTTTATGTTGAATCCAACTAACAATAAAAGTAAGGGGTCTTATGTTTCGGATTTACAATTGTTTTATTTTGCCTCACATATTTCAATAATTGGTTATATTTCAAATATTTTCAGATATACATAGAAGGATATGAAGATGAAGTTGAAGGTGTTTCTCTATTTGTGCATGTGTGTATTTTTTCTGTTCAATCTTTTATACGGTTAACTAATTATAGATGGTTGTGATGGTTTTGTTTTGATAGTTTGGATAAACATGGTTGTGATGATTGTGGTGATATATATAATTGTAAATTTTATAGAAATATTTAGATTTATTTGAACAAATATTTTCATTACGTCGTGCTTTCAGGCACGGGCAATTACTAGTGGAGACATAAGCAGAAATTATTAAGCATTATACAAAGGGGTCTAATTAAAAATATATATTAGGCGGCCATATAATTTAATAATTTAGAGCTAAACTTGGAATTCATGTGTTGTTTTTCATTAGTTATTTAGATGCTTCCTTGTAGAATCTTACATATCAATAAAAAGACAATCATTTAGTTAGATTTGAATTAAGATCATTGGATAAAGCATTAACTAAAATTAATTATCGTTTTATATATATCTATATTAATTTTTTTTTTTTGACATTCATCTATATTACTTATAAATGTTAACAACTGTAAAAAAAATAAAATTGATTTTCTATTTTATCCCTAATTATTATAATAAAATTCATTATACCCATCTATATACTTTAATCTAATTTTTTGTTTTTATTCTTATTTGATTTTCAACTTGCTTTGAACTTTTTTATAAGAACTTTTAAATTATTTTGAACTTATTTGTAGCACAGTTTCATATAATTTTCTATATTTATATAAAGAAGTCAGTGACCTGATGATCCCACCAGTGATGACTTATCGGGATGGTCTCTGGACACTTTCTTTTACCTCTACACCTTTTTCCATGGGCACAAAAAAAAAATCATATATATGTTAAATTATTATACACATATAGTTATTAGATCGAGTTCTACAATCAAATGTATGTTATATTTTATTTTTTGATATGCAATAATATAATAATATATCATAAGCTATTTAATCTATCGATTTAACAAAATAAAAAATAATAATTTATAATATAATTGGATGTGCAAATACCTAAAGGGGTGAAAGAGATACATAAATTAATGATAGATTAAGTACTCAAAAATTTATAAAATAAATTAATAGTTAAATTTAGTACTGATTAAAATATGTATTAATTATTCAACATCTAATTTATTATTTAATTTAATTACATATATAATTTATAATTTTTATAAAAAAATATTATTTAAATTTGTTTAGCTACAAACGGTCGTGCATATCACTAAAACCAACGTCACTCCAAATTTTTTATATAATAATATATAGGCATGACATCAAAGTTAAGAGTTTCACTTTTTCGATTGGCCACACCCTATGTAAAATTAAGAGTCTGGCGCTGCTAAATGAGGGATCCAGACCTCTTGATACATTATTTATTATTAATGAGTGAAAGACTTACTTATATACAATAGATTGTGCTTGAATTAGAAATGCATAGATCACTAAGGATTAAAGAGTAATCATCCTACTCACACGGGATTAGTTTAGTGGTAATTTAGTCACCCAATAAGTGGCTTAACAAAGCATAGATCAAGAATTTGAAAATTGCACGAGTGTATACACCTTTTGAGGTCACCATACTTAGATTTACCTTCTTGTACAGAGTGGCTGCTTTGCCTAAAGTTCTGCCATAGTACAATAGATTCACCAAGACAAGTGGAATATCAAAAAAAAAAAAAAAAACCGTTGTTTTTATCTATAACTAGGGGTAATCACGTGATTGAAGACATGGTGTAATGATTTTTGAGGGAGATGTGATGACGTTAAATGAACTTATTTAAAACCGTCAAATAGACTTACTGAAATCTGTTCAATTCTGCATTATAGATAACCCGGGTATAAAATAGAACAATCTAATTTGTACCCCATGATATTTGAAAAATAGTTTGAACATCTCTAGTTTTGAATATCTAATTTCAAAAATCTAACATTTATCTTTATTATTCTGGTTTTTTCAAACTCAGCCCCCAATTTTTTTAACAATTAAGTGATGATCCAATTTTGTTTTGAATGGATGGGATATGTCCATATCAAAGCATTAAGTTTAGTTTGAATAATTAAAATGAACTACATTTTCTGAATGTAGATAAATCCTGGCCACTTAAAAGAGAATTGGAGGAATTTCTATTCTTGAGAAGCTGGAGAAGAACCGAACTTGTCTTCTACCATGTTTTATTTTCATATGTTTTGTGATTTTTACGTTATTATGTCCGGGTGGTGTCTATAATAATATCGCAAATTAGAAACAATGAGACACGAAGACAAAAGCGAAAGAATAACTCTATATGCACTACTAAATTCCAGCAATAATTTATAATCACGGCATCACGGCAGAGTTGTGTCAGTGACATGCAACAATAGAGAAGAAGGTTAGAAGAGGGTTAGAGAATTGTACGACTCATCTCCTCTGATGCATAAGTTAGTAGGTATTAAAAGGGATGATAAGGCGTTTACTGTGCTCTGGGTTTATTGTGAATGCATATACCTGACTCATTGGACTATTTATACATTCTAAGAAGATGATGTGGCAATGTAGGGGTTCCATCAAGTCAGTCGGGGGAGCTTTCATAGATATGATCATTAGTGAGTTATCTTTTTCTCGAGTTGTACGATTATTAAACTTGGGTAGATTGACAGCTTCTTGGAGTTTAGTCCAGCAACGATTACCTTGCTCGATATGCTAAGTATTTAATGTATGTCCACTTAACATTTAATAATTTTTGAAAAATATCATTAAGTTATTCCGAACACTCATTGTGTTGACATCTAGTATTAAATCCACGTCATTAAGGGTCATTCTTTTATCCGAATTTTCTAAAATTTGAAGTACAAATCCGATATGAACTATCCGTGAAAATAATCAATCTTTATGATGGGTCCACATCCTTGCCAATCATTAATTATTCGGCCCGAGATGCTCTTTAGTCTGCTAGGCATATTCCTCTAAATTCTCTTTTTAGGGCCACCAACCGCCACAATGTTTCACTTTTTGGGTCCACGTGTCTTGCTTGATACTCTATACCTATAAATAGCACTTTTTCCTGCCTCTTCCAAAGCCTCGCTTGCCAAATAGTAGTGTAAATCTCTCACCCTCCCCCCTTCTTCCCCTGTCTCTGATTTCTTTGTGTAAGTTCCTTAGCTCTCTCCATTTCTTTGGGTTGCTATATTTCATAGCCAGTTGTCATTGAACTTATGAAATTTTCTATTGTTTAGTTGCCCAGAATATGAGTTCCAAAGTCTTCGAATATTCATCTTGGTTGCTTAGTGAGAGCATATCAATGTGGCTTCTGCTATGGTCTCTTTTCAACTTACGTGATTCATCACTTAGGACCATTCCTTGGATGGAGTCCGTGTATTGTTACTAACAACTGCAGTTTGGAACTTTCTGAAATCTGCTCCATCTAATGCAACAGCATATAAACGTTTTTTTCAAATGTGAAGGTGACCAGGCGACAGAAAATGGCGCAAAATTCTAAACTCTTGATGGGGATTCTGATAATGTGTTGCTGGGCAGCCATGGCAGAAACAGAATATGTTAAGTATAAAGACCCAAAACAGCCACTAAGTATTCGAATCAAGGACCTGATGAATCGGATGACTCTGGAGGAAAAAATCGGCCAAATGACACAGATAGAACGCGCTGTGGCATCAGCTGAGGTCATGAAGAAGTATTACATTGGTAACATCATCATAATTTTTCTTCGTGTGAAATTATAAAGATGTGTATACTATGTTTTAGATTTTATGTATATATGATATTGAGCAGGTAGTGTATTGAGTGGTGGAGGCAGTGCTCCGGCTAAAAAGGCTTCTGCTGAGACCTAGATCAACATGGTGAATGATTTACAAAAGGGTTCATTATCCACCCATCTTGGGATACCAATGATTTATGGGATTGATGCTGTTCATGGTCACAACACAGTGTACAAGGCGACGATTTTCCCTCACAATATTGGTCTTGGAGCTACAAGGCAAGTATATATGCAACCATGCTGTGATATGTTTCCATATGGCCTTGTAAACCACCTGCTCAATCATTTGTGTCACTAGGCATCAGTGAGCTAAAATCAAACAAGTTCCCTATTTCAGTTCAGTTTTCTCTGGGCATTATATCAAGAGATGCATAATTATTGCAGAATACTTTTCGAAGATTAGGACACAATTGATTGGTATATACGATGATTTGATGAATTCTCAGGTTTATTGCTTCTTTTTTTTTTCTGTTAATAAATTGAGCAGAGACCCTGTACTGGTCAAAAAAGTTGGAGCTGCAACTGCTCTTGAAGTTAGAGCTACAGAAATATCATATGTTTTCGCACCTTGTATCGCGGTAATGAATTCAATTCCAATATACTCGGCTGTTTCCCAAGAAATTGCTAACTGCTTGTGAGTTATGTTCTTTTTTACCTTATGCTAATTCTGTTAACAGGTATGTAGAGATCCAAGATGGGGTCGGTGTTATGAAAGCTACAGCGAAGATCCCAACATTGTCCGAGCAATGACTGAGGTCATACCGGGATTACAGGGAGATATCCCTGCTAATTCTGTAAAGGGTGTTCCCTTTGTTGGTGGAAAGTAAGTTGTTTTGCAATTATCTTTAGGACTGCCTGCTATGGTATTCTGATTTCAAATTTTAACAAGAATACATAACACACATTCTTGTTATTTTTATTTGCATACATACTGTAATCGTAATTAACATGAAGTGTTCGATAGTTTATGATAAACATTAACTGAATCATCTCTTGACTGATTCAATTTTGGTGTGTCATTCTTGCATAGGCAAAAGGTTGTGGCCTGTGCCAAGCACTATGTGGGGGATGGTGGAACAACTGAAGGCATCAACATCAACAATACAGTGATTAGCAGGCATGGACTGCTCAGCATCCATATGCCACCCTACCACAACTCAATCATCAAGGGCGTGTCAACGATCATGGTCTCCTACTCGAGCTGGAACGGGACTAAAATGCACACTAATCATTATCTTATCACTGACTATCTTAAGAACACTCTACGTTTCAGAGTAAAACCCATTTTCAAATATGTTTAACTAGGATTTTGAATCTGTCATCTTAAACAAATGAACTAAAAAAACCTAAGATTTGAAACTTTGTTATGAATTGTTTCAGGGGTTTGTCATCTCAGATATGGGTGGTATTGATTTGATCACTTCTCCACCAAATGCTAACTCCACATATTCCATTCTAACTGGTATCACTGCTGGCATTGACATGGTCAGTAGTTCTTAGTCCTTCGCCTTTCATGGTGATCGTGTTCTTCAATTTTAACTCTTCAATCTTTAACCAAGTACTGATTAATTGTTGCCTTGCTGCCGATCATGGTGCCACACCGCTACAAAGAATTTATCAATGATCTAACTTCCCTGGTGAAGAATAAATACATTCCAATGACCCGAATTGACGATGCAGTGAAAAGGATTTTATGGGTGAAGTTTGTTATGGGCCTTTTTGAGAACCCATTGGCAGATCTTAGCATGGCCAAGTACATAGGAAGTCAGGTCAGTCTAATAGTTACCTCCATAAACTGGATCCTTTTGACCTCTGTTCTGAATACTCGAGGATAAAGTATGCTTTGGCCACTTAATTATGGGCTTTTGATTCTGCTATACCCCTTCAACTATCGAATTTCTCACATTACCTTGATGTCACATTGCCCCACTGCAAACGTCCGTTGTTTTCCGGCCTGAAAATATCTACGGGCCAGGAAAAAAGTGAAAATAAAATCACAAAGTTTCACGGGCAAAGTGAAACTTGTGGTCAAATTTGTAGCGGACATCAGTTAATGGAGCAATGTGAAGCCAATAGCATAGTTGATGTTGCAATGTGCGAAACATGATAATTGAGGTGCAATGTGAGAAAATTGTCATAGTTGAAGGGGAAACAGTTTAAATTTTCCCATTACATAAGAGTTCTCTACTTGTAACACTGTCTTGAACAGGAGCATAGAGAACTAGCAAGAGAAGCGGTGAGAAAGTCTCTTGTGCTGCTAAAAAAATGGTGAGTCTGCAGATGAGCCATTGCTCCCCCTTCCCAAGAAGGCCTCAAAAATACTCGTTGCAGGAAGCCATTCGAATGATATGGGCAATCAGTGTGGCGGATGGACAATTGAGTGGCAGGGACATAGTGGCAATATCACAGTTGGTAAATAAAACAATCTTCCTTTGGTTGTCTTCAAAAACCCGATTTATTTGTGTCATTGAATTAGCTGAAACTATTTTGCAATATCGCAATATGACTCGAATCTTTAGTCATATTTAACTTCCGTTATTTAGCATTTTGTGCGTAGTATTGTCTGGTACCATTCCATGACATGCTACTACCACGAATATAATACTGAATTCATCCTACATTGTGTATAGATACCACAATCCTCGATGCCATAAGAAACACAGTTGACCCAAAAACGAAAATTGTGCTCAAACACAATCCTGATGCTGAATATGTCAAGTCCAAGAACTTCTCCTATGCCATTGTTGTAGTGGGAGAGCCCCCATATACAGAAACATTCGGAGACAGCTTGAATTTGACGATTCCCGAACCCGGCCCGAGCACCATCACAAACGTCTTCGGTGCTGTTAAATGTGTCGTTGTCCTGATATCGAATTTGTGTCATATTCATGTTAATATATAAAATTGATATTTTTTTATTTTTTTTGATAGCCCAATAATCCCCCACCAACCGAGTTTATTTTGACTCGTGGCCGGTAGTCGACATGAGTCCACGGGCAGGAGTTAAATCTAGGAGAGGTGGCTCAAAAAACATTTTCATCCTATGCAGTATCAAACTAATGTCAATTTAAGATATCTATCAGGTGACCGGCTACCATTTCAGCTAACCCTTTAGATTAAATTGACATCGTTGCTTTCCAACTCGACACAATATTTTTATATTATTGTTACTATTTACAAAGGTGAATTAAATTGCACAAAATACGATTATCAATAAGAGCCCAAAATAAGTCAGTCAAACACATGAGACTCCCATTTATGCAAGGTTTTAGAATAATTATATATATATATATATAATTGAGTTACTTGAGTTAAACTTGTTTATATGTAAAATAATCGAGTTACTTGAGCTCAGATCAGGTTCGGCTCAAGTTTGACTCATATTTTAAATGAATCGAACTTGAACAATTTTTTAAGCTCAACAGACCCAACTCGAGCTTACAAAATTCAGCTCGATTATTAGCCATATTCCTATGGCGACATAAAACGAAAATTAGGGTCCTAATTAAAATAAAATTAGTCGGCTATTGTGTCCTAATTTATATTCAAACATAGAACTTATTTTTTAAAATTAACTCTGTCCGTATTGTGTTTGAATTTAAATTCAAACTCTGAACCTTTTTTATGTTTTTTTTTTTTGGTTAATTAGCTGTCACATAAATACTTTAATCAGTAGTCAATTAATTGCATCATATTTTTTTTTTTTGTTATTGGCTGAAATATATCAAATCATCTTGAAATACTTTGAAATATTCTGAAACAATTGTGTAAATACGTCGAAATATTTCGAAACATTTCAAAACACTCTCAAAATATTATGACACACCTCAGAGTATTGAAATTTTAATTTTATCACTAATTCGTTTTAATCTCCTTGAAATGGAAACGTTTTGTTCATTTCAATTGTTTGAAAACAAAGTTTTGGTGTTGTGGGGGGGGGGGGGTAGAGAGAGTGAGAGTGGGAGTTTGTGTTTGTGTTTGTGTTTGTGTAAGACACTTACATTGCACATGAATTTACTATGAAGTACCAAAAGACTCTTAAGATGATGGTAGTAGGCACATAAGGAACAATGCTGCTTATCTTATTATACTAGGGGTAATCGTGTTCGAATGTGCGATATAATGTGAATAGTTTTAAGAGAGATGTTGGTGGTCGTTAAATGAATTTATTTAAGACCATCAAATGAACTTATTGAAAGTTATCTTATTTTATATTATAAATATATGCATCTAGCTGTTTATTTTCAGAATCATCTAGTTCATGCTACCAATCAGTCTTGAATCTATTTGACCAATTAAAAAATGATAGAAGAACTATTTCTCTTCTCTTAGATAGCGGTCCCGCTAATTGACTATTACATCTAGGGACGGGATTGATCTCGAAAAAGAGGCCTTTCTTTCCTTATATATAAGAGACCTCTTCCCAAAGTCAACTGAATTGATGGCACCAATAGCTGAAATAACTTCTTTCTCCCTTATCCGACTTTGCTTCACAAGGTGAGACTAGGAATAACAAATGTCAAAATGCTTTGAAGTAATTGTTGCCGTTAAAAGAATTGTCTTCAAAGCGGATTTCCTCTTGTTTCAGCAGCAAACGAGACTCCTAATAGAATGCTATTTGGAAAGGAGTTCTTCCGCCCCTCCCAACTTTATGTATCGTTCGGCGCTTGCGGATTAGTGTTTGTTATCAAAAATAAAAAGGGAAAACACCAAAAAAAAAAAAAAAAAACAAACAAACAAAACAAAATATGGTGTTAGCAACGATTTATTTTTAGAGTTAAGTGACAATTTTATCTTAGAATCAAAGTAAAAAGAATAGTCCATTTGTTGAAAAGGTCATTCTTTGTGAAGAAGTTGTTCATATGGAGACATAAATAGAAATTATTAACCATTATACAAAAGGGTCTAATTAAAAATATATATTAGGCGGCCATATAATTTTATTAATTTAGAGTTAAAATTGGAATTCATGTTTGTTTTTCATTAATTATTTAGATGCCTCCTTATAGAATCTTACATATCAATAAAAGGACAATCTTATAGTTGGATTTGAATTAGGATCATTAGATAAAGTATTATTTAAAGGTAATTGTCGTTTTACATTGATATCTATATGTATATTTATATTTATACTACTTAAAAATGCCAGAATCTACAAAAAAATTTGATTTTCTATTTCACCCCTAATTGACAATTATGCTCACAAAATATTAGGTAGATAAATTTTATCTCTATAACTTTCATCATCATCATCAACTTATAAATGTCAGCATCTACAAAAACTTTTGATTTTCTATTTCACTTCTAATTATTACACTAAAGACAATTATGCTCACAAAATATTAGTTTGATAAATTTTAGCTAGATAAACTTTATATCTATAACTTCCAAATTTTTTGTATATTAGTTAGATAAATTTTAGCTAGATAAACTTTATCTCCATGACTTTCAAATGTTTTGCTGGATAAACTTTATCACTAATATTCAAAATTGCAAGATAAAATTGCAAGATAAATTTTATCACTATATATTAGTTAGATAAAATTAGCTAGATAAACTTTAACTAGATAAATTTTATCTCTATGACTTCCAAATTTTTTGCTGGATAAACTTTATCACTAATATTTTAAAATTTTTGCAAGATAAATTTTATCACTATATATTAGTTAGATCTCCACCATGACTTGCCAATACATTTTTTTTCCCATTTAATTCGATAAATTTAATTATAATTCTAATATGATGTGAAAAAAAAATTGTTATTTTTAAAGATATTACACAACCATCGAAAATTCATTATTCATTATTATATAATAAAAGATTATAAGAGTAAAGAATTAAACTCAAAAAATTTTCTTTTTTTCATACCTATTAGACTTTTAAAATATTTTGAACAACTTTATTTTTTCTATTTTACCCCAAATTATTACATTAAAGATAATTGTGCTCACAAAATATTAACTAGATAAACTTTATCTCTATGATTTCTAAATTTTTTGCTAGATAACTTTATCACTAATATTCTAAAATTTTTGCAAGATAAATTTTATCACTATATATTATCTTTATGACTGCCAAATTTTTTGCTGGATAAACTTTATCACTAACATTCCAAAATTTTTGACAACTTTATTTTTCCTATTTCACCATTAATTATTACACTAAAGACAATGCTCACAAAATATTAACTAGATAAAATTTATCTTTATGACTTCCAATTTTTTGCTGGATAACCTTTATCACTAATATTCCAAAATTTTTGCTGAATAAATTTTATCACTATATATTAGTTAGATAAAATTTATCTCTATGACTTTCAAAATTTTTACTAGATAAAGTTTATCACTATGACTTGCCAGTACATTCTTCTTTTCCATTCAATCTGACAAATTCAACTAGAATTCTAATATGATGTGAAAAAAAAATTCCTATTTTTTATGTGATAAATACAACTATCGAAAATTCATTAGAAAAGTAAAGAGCAAAACCTATATATATATATATATATATATATATATATATATATATATATAACTTCCATTATATTTTGAATAACTTGATTAGAAATATATATATGTAGATATAGGAAGATAGACCTATATTTTTCTAGTAACTTTATTAACATTTTTAGTCTTATATCACTGCAAGGTCGACGGTGCTTGATGTTGTCAACCTGTGACCTTTTTTTTTCTCAGTCAGAACATGTCTATTGCTAGTATGATATTTTTTTTTACTTTATTTTCCATCTATTTGGGTATGGCTATTGCATAAATGCTCTATTTACTTTACAACAATTTTTGTAATTGAAACTAAAATTAATTTGTGTTCAATTGAATTGGTGTTCCCATCAAAGTGATAATGAATGCAAAAAAAAAAGTATTTTTCATTGAATGAAGAGCTTAATCTGTTAAACTAATCTCATAATATTTAATTGTTTATTATTTGTAGACTTGTAGTGTTTTAGGAGTTATTATATTATGAGTAGAATTAGTTTTGTTATTAGACTTCTTGAATTCATGTGGTGGTGGAATAGTTTTAGATTAGTAAATAATATTTAAGAGTTTTCTTAGTTTTATGTTGTAATGCCAGAAATTCTTATTGGATTCAAGAAGCCATTGAATGCATATATTAACAATCTTTTATTATGTCAATTTCATACACCTCATATTTCTAAAAAATATGATCTAAATTTTTTCACGTGCAATACACGTGTGCATTATTAGTTACTTCCAAATGTCAATATCTGTAAAAAAAAAAATTGATTTTTTATTTTATCCCTAATTAGTATAATATATTATAATTGTCTATATTATTTCATCTAATTTTTATTTTTTATTCATATTTGAATTTCAACTTATTTTGAACTCTTTTATGAAAACTTCTAAATTGTTTTGAACACATTTATTAGTAGCACAGTTACATACAATTTTCTATATCCATATGAAGTTAGTGGCCTCATAATTCCACCAGTGAGGACCTATTGAGGTGGTCTCTAGGTGCTCTCATTTGCCCGCTCTTCTTTGCCCCCACCACTTTTTTCATGAGTTAAAAAAATGTCATATGTATGTTAAATTATTATACACATATAGTTACCAAATTGAATTCTACGGTCAAATATATGTTATATTTTATTTTTTGATATTCAGTAATATAATAATATTAGTCATAACTCTATAGGTATGATGGAACATAAAATTCGAACACTCAAAAAATCGATCCGACTATATTAAATAACAATTTTTTCATTCATTTCTTTGATTACATCATTTAAAATTTATTTTTATCCATTATTTCTTTAAAATATCTACAAAATTTTCTCAAAATATGTAATTCAACAAAATTTTCTTATATATATATATATTATTTTATATGGATAGTATCTAAAATAAAAATTATGTTAAAATATAAATTAATTAAATATTAAATAATTGAACATATGATGAAAATAAGTGATGTTATATTTTTGGAAAAAAATTTGTAGGGGATAAAAATTCAAATAGTTAGGTAGTCTATTATATAGATATTATATGCGATTTAATCTATCTATTTAACAAAATAAAAATTAATAATTTTATAATATAATTAAATGTGCAAATGTTTAAAAAGATTAAAGAGATACCTAAATAAATGATAGATTAAGTACTCAAAAACATATAGAATAAATTAATAATTAAATTTAACAATAATTAAAATATGTATTAATTATTCAGCATTTAATTTATTATTTAATTTAATTATATATATAATTCATAATTTCTATAAAAAATATTATAAATTTATTTACTAGCAACATGCGTATCTATAAAACCAACAATGTCACTCCAAATTTTTTATATAATAATATATAGGCATGACATCAAAGTTAAGGGTTCCTTTTCTGTTGACCACACTCTAGCTATGTAAAATTAAGAGTCCGGCCCACTAAATGAGGAATTCAAATCATCTCGGGTATACTTTCTTTTCATTTCACTTGATATATCATTCAACATTAATTAGTGAAAAACTTACTTATATACAATAGATCCTACTTAAATTAGAAATACATTTGATCACTAAGGATCAAAAAGTAATCATCCTCATCACACAGGGGTTAGTTTAGTAGTAATCAAACGAGGTATAGATCAAGAGTTCGAATATTTCACTAGTGTGTACACCATTTGAGGTCATTATCTTTAGATTTATCTCTTTGTATAGAGTGGCGGCTTTGCCTAAAGTTCTGCAATAGTCAAATAGATTCACTAAGATAGTTGGGATATCAAAAAAAAAAAAAAACCACCTTTATTTTTATCAATAACTAGGAATAATGTGAATAATTTTAAGGGAGATATTGGTACTCGTTAGATGAGTCTATTTGAGATTGACAGATGGACTAATTGAAGTCTATTCTATTTTATATTATAAATAACCAAAGTAGAAAATAGAACAATCTAATTAGATAATATGATACTCCATGATATTTGAAAAATAGTTTGAACATCTCTAAGTTTTGAATATTAAACACCCATTTCTGCTTCTAATTTCAAAAATTTCACACTTATCTTTACTTTTATGGTTTTTTTTAAACTCAGCCCCCAATTTTTTTAACAATTAAGAGATGATCCAATTTTGTTTTGAATGGATGCGATATGTCCATATCAATGCATTAAATTTAGTTTGAATAATTAAAATGAATTACATTTTATGGATGGACATAAATCCTGGCCACATAAAGAGAATTGGAGAAATTTCTATTCTTGAGAACCTGGAGAAGAACCGAACTGGTTTTCTACCATGTTTTATTTTCATATGTTATGTGATTTTTACGTTATTATGTCCAGGTGGTGTCAATAATAATATCGCAAATTAGAAAAAATGAGACACGAAGACAAAAGTGAAAGAATAATTTTATATGCAGAGGTGAATTCCTGCAATAATTTTTAATAGCGGCACCCCAGCAAGAGTTGTGTGAGTGACATGCAACAACAGAGAACAATGTTAAAAGAGGGTCGGAGATTTGTCCAACTTATCCCCTCCAATGCATAATGCATAAGTTAGTAGGAGTTAAAAGGGAGGATTAGATTTTTACTGTGCTGGGTTTCTTGTGAATGCATAAACCCAACTCATTGGGCTATTTATAGATTCTAAGAGGATAAGGTGACAATGTAGGGGTTCCATCAAGCCTGCCAAGAGACTCTTCATAGAAATAATCATTAGTGAATTATCTTTTTCTTAAACTGTGCAATTACTAGACTTAGGAGGCCGACAACTCCTCGGGGTCTAGTCCAGCAATGATTATCCTATTCGAGATGTCGAGCACTCAATACACATCGCCTTAACATTTAATAATTTCAAAAAAATATTCATTGATATGTACCGAACACTCATTTCGTTGACATCTAATATTAAATCCACATCATTAAGGGTTATCCCTTTATCCGAATTTCCTAAAATTTGAAGTACAAATCCGACATGACCTATCCGTAGAAATAATCATTCTCTGTAACTCGTAGCATCATGGTGGGTCCACATCCTTGCCAAGCTTTAATTATTTGTCCCGAGATGCTCTTTAGTCTGCTAGGCATATTCTTCTAGATACTTTTTTTTGAGGGCGATCAATCGTCTCGATATTTCACTTTTTGAGTCCACGTGTCATGCTCTGATCCTTCCTCACTATAAATAGCACCTTTTCCTGCCTCTTCCAAAACCTCACTTCCCCAAATTGTAGTGTAAATCTCTCCCCCCCCCCCCCTCCCTCTCTGGTTTCTTTGTGTAAGTTCCTTAGCTCGCTCCATTTCTTTAGGTTGCTATATTCCATAGCCAGTTGTCATTGAACTTATGAAATTTTCTATTGTTTAGTTGCCCAGAATATGAGTTCCAAAGTCTTTCAATATTCATCTTGGTTGTTTAGTGAGAGCATATCAATGTGGCTTCTGCTATAGTCTCTTTTCAACTTATGTGATTCATCACTTAGGACCATTCCTTGGATGGAGTCAGTGTATTGTTACTAACAACTGCAGCTTGGAACTTTCTGAAATCTGCTCCATCTAACGCAACATCATATGAATTTTTTTTTTCATGTGAAGGTGATCAGGTGACAGAAAATGGCTCCAAATTCTAAACTCTTGATGGGGATTCTGATAATGTGTTGCTGGGCAGCCATGGTAGAAACAGAATATGTGAAGTATAAAGATTCAAAACAGTCACTAAGTGTTCGAATCAAGGACCTGATGAATCGGATGACTCTGGAGGAAAAAATTGGCCAAATGACACAGATAGAACTCTCTGTGGCTTCAGCTGAGGTCATGAAGAAGTATTACATTGGTAACATCATCATAATGTTTCTTCGTGTGAAATTATAAAGATGTGTATACTATGTTTTAGATTTTATGTATTTACGATATTGAGCAGGGAGTGTATTGAGTGGTGGAGGCAGTGCTCCGGCTAAAAAAGGCTTCTGCTGAGACCTGGATCAATATGGTGAATGATTTCCAAAAGGGTTCCTTATCCACCCGTCTTGGGATACCGATGATTTATGGGATTGATGCTGTTCATGGTCACAACACAGTGTACAAGGCAACGATTTTCCCTCACAATATTGGTCTTGGAGCTACAAGGCAAGTATATATGCAACCATGCTGTGATATGTTTCCATATGGCTTTGTAAACCACCTGCTCAATCATTTGTGTCACTAGGCATCAGTGAGCTAAAATCAAACAAGTTCCCTATTTCAGTTCAGTTTTCTGTGGGCATTATATCAATAGATGCATAATTATTGCAGAATACTTTTCGAAGATTAGGACACAATTGATTGGTATATACGATGATTTGATGAATTCTCAGGTTTATTGCTTCTTTTTTTTTTCTGTTAAAAATTGAGCAGAGACTCTGTACTGGTCAAAAAAATTGGAGCTGCAACTGCTCTTGAAGTTAGAGCTACAGGAATTTCTTATGTTTTTGCACCTTGTATCGCGGTAATGAATTCAATTCCAATATACTCGGCTGTTTCCCAAGAAATTGCTAACTTCTTGTGAGTTATGTTCTTTTTTTCCTTATGCTAATTCTGTTAACAGGTATGTAGAGATCCAAGATGGGGTCGGTGTTATGAAAGCTACAGCGAAGATCCCAACATTGTCCGAGCAATGACTGAGGTCATACCGGGATTACAGGGAGATATCCCTGCTAATTCTGTAAAGGGTGTTCCCTTTGTTGGTGGAAAGTAAGTTTTTTTGCAATTATCCTTAGGACTGCTTGCTATGGTATTCTGATTTTGAATTTTAAAAAGAATACGTCTGACACAAGCTAGTTATTTTCATTTGCATACATACTGTAATCGTAATTAACATGAAGTTTTTCGATCATTTATGATAAACATTACCTGAATCACCTCTTGATTGATTCAATTTTGGTGTTTCATTCTTGCATAGGAAAAAGGTTGTGGCCTGTGCCAAGCACTATGTGGGGGATGGTGGTACAACTGAAGGCATCAATATGAACAATACAGTGATAAGCAGGCATGGACTTCTCAGCATCCATATGCCACCCTACCGCGACTCAATCATCAAGGGCGTGGCAA